TGCAGGCCTGCCCTGGAGACGTCCTGGAGGCGACACGAGAGTTTAGATTGAAGATCAGAAATGTGCACCGAAAGCGGATTAGGGGGAGAGAGCCACATGTAAGGAAATTAGGAGATATCATTATAGATGACTATGGATTCAAACGAAAAATAATGCAAGTTAGAAAGTATTTAGAACTGAAATATGGGGCACGGGAGACCACATATCAAAGAGAAGTACACATACTCTACTTACTAATGCAGCACTTTATATAGTGCACATAAATTTAGATACTCCATGTAATCAAAACGTGGAATGTGGCTAATATATGGTCTCAGGAAAAAATTCATCTTAAATACTTGTATGATATTAGAAAATAAGAAAGCTGAAAATTAATGAGCTAAAGCAGTCAACTTAATAGAAAAGAAACAATAAACAAAAAGTATAAAAAGGAAATAATAAATGAGAGCAGAAATTAATAAAAATGAAAATATAATAGAAAGAATCAACAAAGCCAAAAGTTGGTGCTTTGAGAAGACGAATAACATTGTAACAGTCTGTCAAGGAAAAACAGGGAAGGCGCAGCCAGCCGGCGCTGGGGCATGACAGAAACAGCAGCCCCTGCCTCTCGTCCACTACTGTCTTTCCATTTTCTCTGTCAGACATCACCTACCACTGAATATGGAAGCCCAAGATTCAGCTTTCTTACGCCCGGTTCTCTGCCTCCCAAATATTCACACTTCTCCCCGGTCTCACCGATATATCCCTATTACAATTTTTGAGTAAATCAATAATGAGTGTTTACATAATTATGATCATAAAAATGTATTCACAGCTGTGCCATATATGGGTTATGATTAGTTTTATATATATACAACTTTTGCCTTCCTGGAGTTAATTGTTGCTTTGGCTTTTAACATTGCTTATTTTCTTCTGTATGTCACTAACTGATCCCTGAATCTCTACCAGAAGTCTAACTCTTCTCTCTGCAAGAACATCAGTTAACCTCTTTTCCTTCTCTTTCCCTTTTGGAGCCTTTCTTCCTGGAGCCCTTGGTCCTGCTCCAATTCAGACCAGTTGCCCCTGAGCCCCAGGGCAGAGCTCTTGTCCTGCAACCTCCCGCCCCAGCAACCTGGGCGTTCCCTGTGCCCCCCCCTGTGTCCTACACTCAGAGGACGTCTGTCCTGTGTCCTGCCTGTCAGCACCAAAAAGCATCCCTACGACGTTTTGCTAACTTCTCACCTCCTGAGCCCCAGCTTTCATGGGAAACTGCTTTCCCCAGCCTTCCCCAGCTATCCTGCCCGGAGTGCAGGTCTATGCCCAGGCTCTGCAGCAGTGTGGGGACGCAGAGGCCCGAGAGCACATTTCCTGGCGAGCTAGTGGGGGTGTCTGGCTCTCAGAGGCTGCACGAGTGCGGACTCCAGCCCAGATTCTTGGGTCCTTCTTGGAAATCATTTTGTCCTTTACTTTTTTTTTTTTTTGTTAGAGACAAAGTCTCACTCTGTCACCCAGGTAGAGCGCAGTGGCACCACCATAGCTCACTACAGCCTCGAATTCTTGGGCTTAAGCGATCCTCCTGCCTCAGCCTCCCGAGTAGCTGGGACTGCAGGCATGCACTACTGTGCCTGGCTAATGTTTTAATTTTTTGCAGAGACAGGGTTGCGCTATGTTGCCATTCCCGTCTCAAACCCTGGGCTTTATCGATCCTCCCCACCTTGGCCTCCCAAAGTGCTGGGATTACAGGCCTGAGCCTCCACGCCTGACCTCCTTGTTATAAATTTTGAGCTACTCAATGCCTTCAATATGTCCCTTCCTAGTAAAGCAGTTGGGGTGCGTTCTGCTGTTTGCAATGAGGGACCCCAGGGGGAGCCCTGCCGCCTTCTTTTTGGGTGGAGTCCTGATTCTCCCAGAAGCCCACCCTCCAGTAACCTCATGAGAAAAATGACACAGGAGGCCGGACCTCTGCGCCGGGACTGTCTGAAACACCCTGGCACAACGACGGACGTGGCTTAGGAATGTTTGGTTGGGGTCGAGAAGTATTGACATGATGCCACCCTGATTCTCACCGTGTCAGGCAGCTTGGTTTCTTCTCTCTGAAAGTTTTTCTTCTTTAGACCCTAACACGATCTCACCCCCCGTGGAGTCGCGGCTGGGCGGGGTTCCTTTCATCGCAGGGCCGGTCACTCACCGGCCTTTCCATCCAGAAGCACGTCCCAGGTCCGGAGCAGTCCCGGCTCGGCATCCTCTCCCATGGATTCGCCCTCTTCTCTGCGGGACCACTCCTGGGACGACGCTTCGGTTCTCCCCTTTTCCCTACGGTCTCCTCCTTGTGTCATCTCTCTGGAAGGTTCCTCCACGTCCTGTGATACACATCCCTCAAACTTAACTCTGCGACCACGGCTTTCATTTCCAGTTATTCTCTGTTCTCCAATTTGTTTTAATAGCAAGCTGTTCTCATTTCGGGGCTGCAACAGAGGTTTTCTGTTTAGGTTTGGTTTTCAGTTTTCACGGAATAATTGTTTCTGTTGGCCGCGGTGGTCTCCCCTCTCATGTGAGCCCTCCTTCCAGAGTCCACAGTGCCCACACCTGAAGGTCCCCTGGGCGCCCCAAGCACGGGTGGCTTCCTGCAGGATACCCAGGGGGTGGTGAGAGGTCATAGTCCTGGAGACTGGCCGGTTCCTCCAGAGAAACCGACCCTCCCCTTCCCAGACCAGAGACCGGGCCGCCCCTGTGCTGGGAGGAAAACGGGGTCTCGTTTCAGCGGCGTGACCCCCCCCCCCCGAGTCCTGTCTTCAGTCCAGCACATTCCTGGAGGCCCCACTCCCGGGTCCCTCTGCGTTAGCTCCCTGGACCGTCAATAATCTGCCGACAGGGACGGGGCAGAAGCGGAGGGGTGTGGCCACCTCCCATGCACACTCCCAGCCAACCACCCTGCCACTGTCCCCAAGGCCTCTGGACCTTTCTGGAGCTCCACGGCAGAGGCTGGCGTGCGACCTGGTCTCCCCCACCGCTGGCGTCAGCTCCTCTTGTCTGCACGGTGGCTGTCGTTTCCCCAGCACTTCCCAGCTTCTGCGCCTGCCTGCTCCCCGCGCTGCCCCAGTTTCCTCTGTTTCTGCCCTTTTGGTGGAATTCAGGAGGGCGCCGAGGCTAATGCTCCGGTTTGATGCGCTGTGTTCAGCCACAAGGCTGTTAGGGGGACTCTTGGGATGTGAGCAGGGCTCCCCAGGGGACAAGAGGGAAACGCCACCCCTCAGAGGACAGGACGAGGACGACAGTCTTCTGTCTCACTGAACTGCCGCTCAGGAGTGCGCGGCAGGCCTGACTCTGAAAAGCATGAGCCAACCTTCACTCGCCTGGAGTTGTGCATCTTCTAAGTTCAGTTAAAAAATTAACAAAGGAAGTTCAAGTTCAAGCGTTGGCTTGGTTTGGACGTTAGCCTTCCTCAAAGACAGCAAACGGGCCAAGTCTGATCCTGAAACTACACGGCCAGGTCTCCTTGCCTCAGGCAAACACCTGGCAGCTTCAGACCCCAGGAAAGGAGACAGATCAGAACCGCCTTGTCCCCGTGAGACCGCAGCTAGGGCCGCTTCCGGAAGGTGTGCTCGAGACAGGCGCATCACCTGGCCAGGGGCCGTGCTTAGTGCCAATCTACGGGGCCCCTCGCCCCTCGCAGGCGGCCCCCAGGGTCCTGCCCTCTGCACGGCCCCTCCTTCGCCAACAAGCCCCCTGAGACAAGCTGCAGAGACGGACGCGCCCGAGACCACTCGGGCCGGAGTCTGAGCCCCGCCGGCCACACTCTGGCCGCACGGCTTCGGCAGGTGATTCAGTCGCCCGCCGAGGTCAGCTCGGCCCTGACGCGGGAGTCGCGTTGCGCCGGACGCCCGCTGGGAGGGGTCCCTGGGCTCCCTCGGCGACGTGCTTAGGAGAGGGCCCGGCACTGAGTCGGCCTCGGGGAACGCCGGCCGGACTGGACACGGCGCCCAAGTTCACAGCCGCACGCGGATGGGGACGAGTAGATCCGACTGCCAAGGTGGGGAATCTGTTTTCTTCACTCAGAACTAGCCATCAGGTAGAGCACAGAACAAACAAACACGGCAGCCTCTCTCGCTCTGTGGACTAAATGACCTCGCCGCGGTGCTGCCCGCGCTGTGCTGTCTCACACGCGGGCCCCGCCGACTCTGGGCGTCTTCGCAGACCTGGCTCCTGACACCCGGCAGCCGCCTTGCCGTTCACGTCTCGGTGACAGTCACAGACCCTCCCTGCCGAGCAGGCGCAGAACGACACGTCAGCAGAGTCCTCACAGCCAAGACCGGTAGGACGTGCTGGGAGCCGTGACCAGAGGGCTAGTCAGTCTGTCCCTTCCCAAAGCAGACGGGCTCCTCCGTGGAACGCTCGCACTCGTCTCCTTGTTACTAAACCCCGCCTGGGAGGAACCTTCTCACAGGTTCCAGAACCTTCCGGCCGCTGACCTGGGGAAGAAGGCCAGCCAGGCCTGCGCCCCCAGCCCAGGGCTGCCTTGATCACGGTTATAGCCGCACTGCCTGCAACCCCGCTCCTAGCACATTCTACACGTGACAAAAAGCCACTCACTGTTACCCACGTATCGGCCCTGCCAGTGTGTCTGGCTTTGGTCTCCGTCACTACACGCCAGCCGCACACGGATGCGGCAAAGGCCCTCGCTACGGGACATCACAGAAGGCTCTCGGGGCCCCGCACCACGTGGGCGCACGCTCGGTTCTCCCCTGGACACCTTAAATTGGTGCGACAACCAGAGTAGATAAGCAAACAGAGGAAGGGACAGCAGGTTGGGACGACAAAGGTGGCGCTGTGAGACAGCCGAGCGCAGTCACACACTTGTCGAGGCCGAGGGGTCTGCCGGAAGCTTTAAGCCGGAGGAGGCTGAACCGGGGGGCAGAGACAGACAGCGCCGGCACGCCCACAGCCCTGGGGAGGCGGCGGTGTGGGCACAGGGAGCTCCGCCCAGGAGCCTCACAGACTGCGCGACGCCCAGCCCGCCTTACCGTTCAGGAGCTGCAGCTCGAGGAAGGAGGCGGAGCACACCTTGCAGGCCCAGGGGCTGGGCTCCGGCTCCACGGGGGCGGGGGCGCTGCTCTCCAGGGCACCTGCAGCTGCGGGACAAGAGAGGAGACCAGGTGATCATCATCGCACCTGTGTCTCCATGAGGCCCCGCCCCGAGGAGAGGGGCAGTCCTAATGGGGTGGGGGGTGGGGAGGAGGAGGAGGGGAAGGAGAAGGGAGGAATGGGCACTCTCAAGTTCCAAGCACTGTTCCAGGGTTTTCACACATCGACTATCCCCATGTCACAGGTGAGGAGCCTGAGCCCAGGGCGTGGGGCGAGAGCAGCCTGTGGCGGGGGCTGTCCTCTCTCGCCTGTCGTGGAAATGGGATTTCCTCCAAGAAGCTGCCCGGTGGGACCAGACCCATCCCTTTATATGACTTCAGGAAAAATAATGCACCCTAAATATCCAAATTTCATCCCCCAATCTAGCATCGGCTCATAGGATAAGAGACGGTGGAACCCCAACAGCCAGCCCGCGCTGGCCCTGCGCCCGGTCCGCCCGCCCCAGCCCGCTGCCCAGCAGAGCCCAACAGCCGAGCCCCTGAACACAGACTGGTGCCCTGGGGGAGATGAATCTTTAACTTTATTCGATTTGGATTTAAATTTAAACAGCCACCCGGGGCAGGTGGCCGCTGCCTGAGCAGCACCTCTAGCCCTTCGCCCCACGCCCCCAGGGGTCTGGGGAGGGAGGACAGTGACAGGGCTCGTAAGATCACAAGAAGGAAGAAGCACAAAGGGCGTATGAAAGTTTTTGTCGTTCTAAAAGCAAAGGAAGGACGGAGAGAGGTCGGCACCCGCAGGGCACTGTCACAGGACCCCTCCCTCCAGCCTCTTGCCGTCTCTTGTGCCCACTCGGGACTCTGCCGGCTGGAGGGGCCCAGAGGAGACCGTGGACACGTGGAAACCACAGTCAGAGTCCCGTCCCTCCCTCCCACTCAAACGCACTCAGGCTCCAGAGAGGGAAACACACACTTGCACGTGACCCGTTCAGGAAAGGAGGACCAGGAAGGGGTCAGGGGGAAGCCGCCACGTGAGCACAAAGGGGATTTCTTCCCACGGCGTGGGCTGCTGTCCCGGCAATGAGGCCCCCACCCCACGGACGTAGGTCAGGCCAACCCCAGACAAGAGGCAGCCCTCTGCGACTTACTGCTCCCTGCCTGGTAATGGGGACTACGCAGAAGGACTTGTGTGACAACTGTCCTCTCATCGAGGGAAGTACTCAGCATCTTCCCAAAATCAATTTTGAAAGAACGTTTAAGGAAAAAAATTACCCAGCCATCAGAAGGCGATTCCTGACCGCCGATCGCTGAACAGCCGACAGAAGGGAAGTATCTCAGCGAAAGCTACCGCCACACACGCACACGGAGGTGCCAGGCGGTGACGGCAGGAAAATGCTCAGGAGCTGCCGGCAGGCCAGCACGTGCCGGGAAGCAGAGGTGAGCGGGAAGACGGCAGGCCAGCACGTGCCGGGAAGCAGAGGCGAGCGGGAAGACGGCAGGCCAGCACGTGCCGGGAAGCAGAGGCGAGCCGGAGACGGCGGGACAAAGCACGTGCCGGGACAGCAGAGGCCCGAGCGGGAACAGAGCAGGCCAGCACTGACAGGGAAGACAGAACAGGCCGAGCAGGAAGACGGTAGGTCCGCACGCTGCCGGGACAAGACAGAGGGCCGAGCGGCTGAAGACGGCGCAGGTCCAGCATCGTGCCGGGAGAAGCCAGAGCGAGGCGGCGAAGACGGCGGCCAGCCACGTGCCGGAAGACAGAGGCGGAGCGGGGAACGACACGCAGGCCAGCACGTGATGCGGGAAGCAGAAGGCGAGCGAGAGAGGACGGCTAGGCCACCAGCACGGCCGGGAAGCAGAGGCAGCGGGAAGACGGCGGCCAGCACGGTTGCCGGGAAGCAGAGGCGAGCGGAAGAAGAGGCAGGCCAGCACGTGCCGGGAAGCAGGGCAGCCGGGAAGCGACGGCAGCAGCACGTGCCGGGAAGCAGAGGCGAGCGGGAAGACGGCAGGCCAGCACGTGCGGAGCAGAGGCGACGCGGGAAGACGGCAGGCCAGCACGTGCCGGGAAGCAGAGGCGAGCGGAAGACGGCAGGCCAGCACGTGCCCGGAAGCAGAGGCGAGCGGGAAGAGCGGCAGGCCAGCACGTGCCGGGAAGCGAGGCCAGGTGAGGGACAGGGAAGACGGAGGCCAGCACGTGCCGGGAAGCAGAGGCGAGCGGGAAGACGGCAGGCCAGCACGTGCCGGGAAGCAGAGGCGAGCGGGAAGACGGCAGGCCAGCAAGTGCCGGGAAGCAGAGGCGAGCGGGAAGACGGCGGGCCAGCACGTGCCGGGAAGCAGAGGCGAGCGGGAAGACGGCGGGCCAGCAAGGCCTCGGCTACGTGAGAACGCAGGGTTTCGGAAGAAAAGAAACTGCGATCCCAGAGAACAGCTTGGCGTTCGCCAGTGAGGGGAGGCCGCCGGGGAGAGAACCTTCCGGGGTGAAGGGACGTCCCGCAACTGACTGGGGTGGAGCTCACACACCTGCACACACCCGTCAGAAGTCCCTGCGCTGCACACTCAGCACGCGTGTGCGTGCCTGTGCGTGACGATACGTCTGTCGCCAGTGCGGGCCTTTCACAAACACCAGCGAGAGGCAGTCGGAGTGCCGCCAGCTGTTGGGGCAGAATGCCGGTGCTGCGCCTGATTCAGCAGCTTCCCCGCCGTCCCGAAATGTGTTTGCACTTTAGCCTTGTCCTTGGAAAGTGACTTTGACAATCTGGTGGTGAGGGCGGGTTCTGGGGCCCGCGTTCCTCCCGTGGGGACCCAGGGGTGCGCTGGGCCTCCCTCACCTGCCAGCAGGCCCAGGGCCAAGTCAAGAAAGAAAACCACCCTCGATGTGAGCTCCAGAAAATACGCAGTGAGGAAAGCAAACCCGCCACCAGAAAAACACAATAAAATCAGTTTTTAAAAGGAGGCGTCACTGCTCCTTTAGGTTAAAATCAAACTTTTCTCTGTGTTTAGGAGCCGGCTCTGCCAGTCTGCAAAACCGTCCGATTTCTATAACCGAGACGCACGTTGAAAGCAAATTTGAGAAGTGACAGAAATACTAAATAAGCCAACGAGTCTTAGGAGCCCTGACGCTCCCCGGGAAGTCGGCCGCGGCGCTGCGTCATCTCTGGGAACACAGGGCCCGTTCCTGGTGCCACGCCACTCGCCTCGCTCTGCCACTCCCGCCGGGCCACGGGGGCACTAATGGCTGCAAAGGGCCCCTGCCCCCGCTATGGGCGCGGTCTCGAGGAAGCCTGGTCACCAAGCAGGAGCAGAAGCCAGGCCTCTGCGAGTCCAATCTGAACCACCGGGATCGTGCGGGAGCCAGCTTTCCGGGTGTTTCTGGCCCCTCTTTGCTGGTCCCGTTACCTACTGAGAGCTAGTTTCTAAGAAGCGAGCCAGGGTGGGCTCCCGGTGCATGGCCTTCTCTGTGCCTGGAGAGGACACCTGGGGACAGAAGGGGCGCTAGGGAAGGGGCGGGGTGAGAGGCAGGTGTTGGGGAGGGGAGGCAGCTGCCCTGCTGCAATTCCAATGACCTGCAGGGGGGCCCCAGGTGAGGGCTTACAGGGGGGCCCCAGGTGAGGGCCTGCAGGGGGACCCCAGGTGAGGGCCTGCAGGGGGACCCCAGATGAGGACCTGCAGGGGGACCCCAGGTGAGGGCCTGCAGGGGGACCCCAGGTGAGGGCCTGCAGGGGGACCCCAGGTGAGGGCCTGCGCACCGGGAGGGCCCAGTGAGCATTCAACAGGCAGCTCTTACAGAAGGGAAAGAAAGAAGGGACCCGACAGCCTGCCAGGTAATAGGAGGCTGCGGTGTTCTCTGCTCTTCCCAGAAACAGCCCTTGCCATTTGTCCCAAAACAGAAAGTGAAAGTCCTAAAATGTACTTATAAAACCTTAGAGTACCTAAGTTGCTTATTTATTTCCCCGATTAAAAGCCTGCTTAGGAGAGTGACTGTGCACTGCATTCATGCAGACTGTCCCCGTGTCACCATGCAAGGAACCCTTCCGTTCTCAGAGGCGTGGGGGAATCATGGTCGGGGCGGAGAACCTGCGGCCTCGGGGCCACCACACGTGGCATATGGATCCCTGAGTGTGGCCTTCTGACCGAATCCGAATTTCACAGAGCAGGTCCTCTGACTGATAATAAAGGCTGAGGCAGGAGGCGACTCTGTTGGACGGCACGGTCCCGGGCCGCTTCCACCTAAATCCACCATCTCCAGCCCAGCTCCGGACCGGAGGGCTCTGCAGCGGTCCAGGCAAGCAGAGCACGTGTAACTCCGACACGGGGGCAGACCACGCTTCCGCTCTGACCTTGAGAGTTGTGAAGGGTGTGTCGTCACCCAGAACACGCTGACCAGGGTGAGTCCCCAAGGTCAGGGCCTCATAACCCAAGCCCCGGCTTGACATGCGGTCTGGGCTGGTCGTGGGCACACACGCTGCCAATGGCCCAGGCCTTAGGGATTCCCAGACACCAGACACCGGGTCCGGAACGGTTGCTGGGACATTACTCGGTGAGGCCGGCCTCGGCCCTTCCACGCAGCTCCTACCCAGCAGGGGCTTCCTGGGCCGGGCCAGGGGCAGGACTGGCGGCAGCTGGCCTCCAAGCTCTTTTCATCCCTTCACCCTCAAAAGACCCCCGGCACAGGCCTTGGTCTCCCTCTGCAAATACGTCTGTGAAGGACGCTACCCCCCACCCTCCGACACTCAGCTTCCTTTACCGTCCTGGCAGAAAGTGCCACCGTGCAGACCTGGAGGGAGCCGCCCCACCTGGGGCCTCCTTACAGTCCCTGGCAGGGTCCTCAGACGCCCAACATGTGGCCACCCCTCACCTGCCCTGGAGCGGGCTGAGCAGTGACCCCCCCAAATCCACATCCACCTGGAGCCTTTGGGACAGGGTCTTTGCAGATGGCATCACGTTAAGATGAGGTCGGACTGGATTAGGGAGGCCCAAGTCCAATGACTGTGTCCTTCTGAGGCGAGGACACAGGGACACTGGGAGGAGACAGAGGCAGAGCCTGGAGAAGCTCAGCTACAAGCCCAGGGACGCTGAGGCCACTGCTCCAGCCACCACCAGAGGCCGGGGGTCGAGCCCCCAGAAGGAACCAGCCCTGCCAACACCTGGATCTTGGACTTCCGCCCTCCAAGACCAAAAAGAATACATTTCTGATGTTCAAGCCGCCCGGTTTGTGTGCAGCCACGGAAATCTAAGGAAATCAGCTTGTCAGGGCAGCCCTGGGACACCCCCACATCCCCCACAGCCGCCTCCACTCACTCATGCTCTGCCTGGTCCACACCCCCCCCAGGAGGTTAGGGGATCCCAGGAGCATTTTACAACCTCGCTTATAACAAACAACACAGGACAGAACAGACCCTTCCAGATATGTTAAGAATTTACTCTACAGAGCTGTTCTGGATTACGCTGCATTTATAATAAAGAGGAAACCATTTCCATGTGAGAACTATGTCATCTGGGGGGTCGGAAGGACAGTCAATGTCTCTCTCCCCTCTGAGCAAATAATTTCCATGGCAACGATAAACGATGTTTGCCCCCTGGGTGGTGTCAGGGTGGGCCACATGAAACAGCTGTCTTGCAGGTCAAAAAGTGTCCAATAGCAATTCCATATGGTGTCTCCAGGTTATGTAAAGAGATCAGTGACAGAAAGACCCACGCTGCGGATAGGATTCAAATTCCACAGCCCCTCCCTCCTTCCCAGACAGTCACGCCCGGACCCTGGTCAGCAGGACAGGCCTGTGACTTGCTTTTCCAACAGGAACGCCGGATTTGGGCAGATCACTAGCATAACCTTCACTCAGTCTTTCTTTACATGTACATGCGCGCACACGCGCCCCAAATCCGGGAGGAGGCTGCTGCCAGAGCAACAGCAACACGGAGCCAGATTCCGGGTTCCAACCCCCATTCCTCCACCTGCTGCGCCGTGACCTCAGGCAAGTTCCTGAACCTGTCTGTGCTCTGTCTCCTCCATCCAAAAAAAGGGATAACGCTCCAACCCCAGAGGGTTGGGAGGGTAAGTGTGGAAAGTCCCGAGAGCAGAACTAAGCATGGCTGTGCACAAAAATATGACATTTACGTCAACACGGACCGCATATATGATGGTGGGCCTGGAAGATTACAACACCGTGTTTTTAGTGTGTCCTTTATATGCTTAGATGCACAGATACTTACCACTGCGTCACAGCTGCCTACGGGATTCGAAGTCACACCCTGTACAGGTGTAGCCCGGGAGCCACAGGCCGTTGTAACAGCCCAGGTGTGCAGAAGGCCACGCCACCTGGCCTGCATACGTGCGCTCTAGATGTCTGTATGACGGAATGGCCTGACGAAACGCTCGTCTCAGAACGTGTCCCGTCGCTAAGCTGCACCTGACTGTATCTGCTTGTGTCACGGCCAAGTACCCAAATTTACCGCGGCAGCCCTGAACCGGGAGCTCCTCCCAGCGGTGGCCCGGCTTAGGGCTGAGCCCCGGATGCTTAACCAGAGGACAGACAGACCCAGCTCCGTGGGGGGAGAGCAGCACCCCCACTTTGCTTGCACCCCGGCCGGCAGGCCCAGCGCGACCGTCTCGCTGGCAAGGACTGGCGCGGCAGCCAAGGGGCCGGCAGCCCCTCGGGCGAGGCGTGAAGGAAGGTGGCGGGGGAGGGGGGGGTCGCCACGTACCGTGGGCACCGGCGCAGGCCTGCTTCAGCATGGGCTTGTCCATCTTCTTGGCGTAGAAGGCGGCGTACCACACGCGCAGCTCGGTGCCCGGCGGGATGTCCCTGGAGGTGGTGAAGTACACGTCGCTGCCGTGCTGGTAGGCCGTCAGGTTCTGGTGCGTGGGCTCCGCCGCCGGCCGCACCAGCATCATCCAGTTGCAGTCGTCCTCGTTGGACGTGTCGAAGCACACGGGGTGCCCGTCCTTCTGGAACACCTGGGGGGGCAGGGAAGGGCGATTACCCCCCAGTGTGTGTGCAGGGGTGCTGGGGAACCCCGGTACACAGTACCGCGTCAGAGGCCGTGTCGGGCTCCCGCACACGACCGCTCAGGTGTTCACGATGGCCGGGAAGGTCACGGCAGACCACGCGGCTCAGGCAGGCCAGGCTGGTCACAGGCAAAAAGCAGTAGACACGGCAAAAGGTCCACGTGTCGCCCATCAGACACCTGAGCGCTACACCTGGTCCAGGTGTCGCTGGGACACCTGAGTTCTGCTCACCGCCCAGGGGTAGAACTCGAGTTCTCACCAGTTTATGGGGGCCTGAGGACACCTGAGTTCTGCTCCTGCCCCCCGTGTGACAGGGACACCCGAGCTCTACGCATGGTCCCGTGGCAACTGGGACGCTCGAGTTCTACCCATGGTCCCCGTGAGCACCTGGACACCTGAGTTCTACTCTGGGCTCTGCTGCAAGCGTGCACGGTGACATGAGCCAAGCTCCTCGGTCTCTATAAGCGGTCCCTCATCTGGAGAACAGCGTTATTGCTCCACGGATTAAAAGCAGGCAGGGAGCAGGGAGAGGAACTTAAATATTTGGAAGTTCAGCTCAACCATGTGTGTACAGGGGGGTTTTGTTCCCCACTTTCTGCTGTAATCGTTGCTTCCCCACCATAGGAAGGGATCTCTCCCCTCCCAAGCTTTTCCTGCAGAGGTCCCCTAAGGACAGAGCCCTCAGGAGCGAGGGGAGGGGACAGAGAGGGGCACCAGGTGCCTAATGAGCTCCCGTCACTGCGGAAAGTGTGCTCCCTGCAGGTGACACCCTCCCCCTGGCGGCCCACAGGTGCCCCTGGGCAGACAGGTGTCCGAGACTGCGCGTGCACTGAAAACAGCACAACACCAGACGGCAACCTTCAGAATCGAGCCGCCAGAAGACGACCAAAGTGGGCACAAAGGACTTTCTCATCGGGGACTCACCCCAGACGTGTGCCCACACCACCGCGTGCGCCGGCCGCCCGGGTCCCACGAACGACGGCACGCGGCCGGCGGCCTTTCCTAGGCGCGGTTCTAGGGCTTTGTGTCACTCCTCGACATGAAACAGCCTGTCTCAGTCTTTTCTTTGTGTTTTTGTAAACAGATCAAGCACCTTTCCTTTCCCCCTTTCTGCTGAAATCTGCCCTGTAAGCTCAGTTTTTCAAAGGACTGCCAAGAAAACAAGCTCAGGAGCCCCTCTGCCTGTCCCTTGGAGGGTCTCAGGGACAGCCGACCTCCGTCCGTGGCACCCCACTCCCCGTGTGCCGGTCTTGGACGCCTGGGAAAGCTCGAGGGGTGGGGAACGGCCCGCCTCACCTGCCCCGTGGGGCTCGCACGGTCGCATTTTAAGCACTCCAAGCCCCCTTGCGGTTCACACCCACTTCGTTTTCTCAATTTCACGTACAGGTGGAGAACAGCTGTCTTTGCCCAGCCTGATGCGCTAAATTTTGAGAGCTGCCAAACTTTGTACCATCGCCTGCCTTTGAAAGAGCTTTGCAAAATGCAGTATGCCCTGCCTAGGTGCGACAGTACCTAGGTTGACGCACGCTTGCAAAAGCCACCTCGCAGAACCTGCAATATCAAGCCAGGTCGTAAGGGAACTGAGGTCGGCGTTTTGGGTTTGCGCCTGCATACATTTTACATACGCTCTTTAATGTTTTGCCAAATTGAAAACTATAAAATACTAACTTAAGTTTGATGCTCTTGTAACATACAAACTAAAAAAAAAAGAAAGAAGAAACATTTTCTTGGAAATCAAGCAGAAGCACAGTGTTCAGGGCGGCTTCCGAGGCGCTGGGCAGTCACTGAACCCCACGGTCAGCGCACCCACGCCCGCAGGGGGCCAGGAAGGCACCGGCTCCGGGCCCCGCTGGCAACCAGCCCTACCTTCAGCGGGAACGCGGACTCCTTCTCCCACTTGGCGACCCTCCGGGACTCGAACGGCCCGAACTGCGTCCGCTTCACGAGCTGAGTGACGGCGAACACGCCTTCGGCTCCGTCTTCCAGCCGCCTGATCTCCAAGTTGGGAGGCAGGGACGACCTGGAAACGGAACCAAACGGGAGACTCGAGAGAGGGCGGCCACCAGGGCAGCCTCAAAGCCCACTCTCACCCACCCTGCGGCTCTCGAGATCAATTCTCAACAGTGGCGAGACGGAAGCCGCCCTCCCGAGTGCCTCTCGAGTGGTGACGGCGCCGACAGAGGCTGTGCTGATCAGCTGTAATCCTGTGGCTGTAGCCACACAACGCAGACCCACCGCAAGGCCCTGCAAGATTCGCCCAGAGCACACGCTGGAGTGGCATTGGCTAAAGGATGCGTCTAAAATCCCCGTGAGCGAGCAGAGCACCAGGCGACAAGACGGCAGGCGGCCCGGCTCTTGCCCGCAAGGGGCTCACGTGGCCAGGGAGGGAGGACCACAGAACTCGAGACCAGGAACCCCGTGGAGGGTGCCACGGGAAAGACACACGCGCCACGGGCCTCCCAAAGACCAGAGGAGGGTTCCCAGCCAGGCGGGACGGGGCCAGTCTCTCCGAGGATGTGGCCCTTTTGATAAAGCAGAAGAACGTGCAGGACGGGGCGGAGGGGCGGGAACAGCAGCTGGGACCTCGGCGCCGGGCCAGGGCGGCCGAGCCTAAGACATGCCCGGAGCAGCGGCGGAGGCCAGGGCGCCCGGAGCACAGGCCCCCGGGGGGCAGCGGGAGGCCGGCTGACACCACGGACCCCTCACGGAGGGGCCGACTGTGGGACCAATGGTTTCAACTGAGCGTTCGTGGGCAAAAGGCAACCGCTGAGGGCTTTCGGAAGATGAGACCCGGTCAGGTCTTCACTGAGGCAAAAACAGTAACCTCTTTTATAAAGTCACGCTGAGAAGAAAAGAATAACAGCGTCATGACCAGGGTCACCCATCTCCTCCATGTCACAGGCAGCCGAGCTGCAGAGAAGAGAAGGCCTCGTCCAAGGTCACTTGCTCTGGGCTGCAGGTGACGCAGCCTCCGCAGGTAAACGTGGCAGGGCCACCTGGAAGGGCCACGGGCCTCCTCCCTCCACCTGCAGGTGTTTCCAGAACCCACAAAGGCCCTGCCCTGTCCCCTGTGCTCATACCCAGCACCCCAGTGTCAGCCGCAGGCCTGGATGGGACGCAGAGCAGACCTACAGCGTGGCTGCCCTTGCTCGGTGCACCGGCCGCTCGGCCAGTCAGCTGTCCCGTGGACGCCTCACTGTCTCGGGGACAGCCGGGCTCCTCGGAACGCTGGGCTGGGTCAAAGAACTCAGTCTGGAGCTTTGGGACCCGCCCTGGCTCGGCTCGCAGTGGACGGACGCCACCGATCCCCACCGCAGGTCTCTCTGCCCTTCTCCCCGTGCAGACTCGAAGGCCAGGGAGCTGGCACCGCAGCCGACACGGAGTTGATCGTGTCTGACACACGGGGCTGGGAACGTGAAGGCAGCTCACGCGGTCACTCACCTTGCCCGGCTTAACACAAAGGAGTCTTTGACCATGACCACGGGGCCCAGCTCCGGACACTCGGAGTCGTGGTACTGGCTGCAGTCTTCACACCCTGTGAGCAGACATCCGAGCATCAGAGAATGGGGGGCGGGGACGGCATCCAAGTGGGGGCACGGCATCCGCGTAGGGACACCAAGACAGGAACCTAGGACGCGTGGGGCGCCCCAACACTGGAGGGCGAGAGGGGGCACGAGCCCACTCACAAAGGCCCTCTCGGTGCTCCTGGAGATATCAGGGGTGTGAACGGGCCACGTCCCCAAGGACAAGGCGCGGCTCTGGGGACACCTCGCATCATACAGTCACCTCTGCGGTGACCAAGAACGGATCCTCCCCCCATGCTGAGAATGCATGAAACCCACAGATGTCAACCCACTTACCATAAATCTAACACACTTTCCTCGTTCTAAACCCCTGGATCACCTTCTGGGTCAAGCGCTACCCCCTGCAACTCGCCCTTTGCCAGGAGCTCCGAGAAAGTCGACCCTGCTAAAACCACACCCCGACTTGCACGGCTCCCACAATCACGTTTCTTAAGGCAATTCCAAAAGGAACAGCTTTTCTCTGTTATACACCCAAAATGCGGGCATGGCCGTGCCCAGACGGCGAGGGCTCGTCTGCGCCCTGCGACAGGCCGGGGTCACTTACAGATGAACATGATCTCTTCGCTCCCATCTTCAGCCATCGCTGACACCTGTCAAGACACAGAGAGCCGGGTTAGTGACAGCGCAGTGTCTAAAGTCCTGGGGTCCCCCAGCCCGTGCGGGGTGTTCGGGACACAGAGAGTTGCGTTAGTGACAGCGCAGTGTCTACAGTCCTGGGGTCCCCCAGCCCGTGCGGGGTGTTCGGGACACAGAGAGCCGCGTTAGTGACAGCACAGTGTCTACAGTCCTGGGGTCCCCCAGCCCGTGCGGGGTGTTCGGGACACAGAGAGCCGCGTTAGTGACAGCGCAGTGTCTACAGTCCCGGGGTCCCCCAGCCCGTTCGGGGTGTTCGGGACACAGAGAGCCGCGTTAGTGACAGCGCAGTGTCTACAGTCCTGGGGTCCCCCAGCCCGTGCGGGGTGTTACCCGCACTTTAGAGGGAACACACAGCGGGGTCCCCTCTTTCTGTGGAATGGAGCCGGGGGCCTCGGAAGGTCTTCCCACCTAAAATAACGGTGCTTTTTAACAGACGCAATGGACCTGAAGGGCCTCGGGTCCGGGACGTCTTCAAGAACCCCGACTCTCATCTTGTCACACAGCCATCTGTTTCCATTTGTAAAATAAAGATATCCCCGTTTTATACACGCCTGTGATCCTAGCACGCTGGGAGGCCGAGGCGGGAGGATTGCTCAAGGTCAGGAGTTCGAAACCAGCCTGAGCAAGAGCGAGACTCTGTCTCTACTAAAAGTAGAAAGAAATTAATTGGCCAATCTTTATTGCCAATTAATTTAAGTGATATAGGCACATGAAAGATGTTGAATGGGCAGGGCGCATGGACAAAAGAGGAAATGCGGCCGGGCGCGGTGGCTCACGCCTGTAATCCTAGCTCTTGGGAGGCCGAGGCGGGCGGATTGCTCAAGGTCAGGAGGTCAGGAGTTCAAAACCAGCCTGAGCAAGAGCGAGACCCCGTCTCTACTATAAATAGAAAGAAATTAATTGGCCAACTGATATATATATAAAAAATTAGCCGGGCATGGTGGCACATGCCTGTAGTCCCAGCTACCCGGGAGGCTGAGGCAGAAGGATCACTCGAGCCCAGGAGTTTGAGGTTGCTGTGAGCTAGGCTGACGCCACGGCACTCACTCTGGCCTGGACAACAAAGCGAGACTCTGTCTCAAAAAAAAAAAAAAAAAAAAAAAGAGGAAATGCGTTTGCAGACAGAAGGGATTTGCTTAAAAATCCTGGACTGAGGCTGGGTGCGGTGGCTCACGCCTGTGATCCTAGCACTCTGGGAGGCCGAGGCAGGAGCATCGCTCAAGGTCAGGAGTTGGAAACCAGCCTGAGCAACAGCGAGACCTCGTCTCTACTAAAAGTAGAAAGAAATTAATTGGCCAACTAAAAATATATAGAAAAAATTAGCCGGGCATGGTGGTGCATGCCTGTAGTCCCAGCTACTCGGGAGGCTGAGGCAGGAGGATCCCTGGAGCCCAGGAGTTGGAGGTTGCTGTGAGCTAGGCTGACGCCACCGCACTCTAGCCTGGGCAACAGAGTGAGACTCTGCCTCAAAAAAAATAAATAAATAAAATAAGGATACCCCCATCTTTTAAAACCCAGTTTCCCCACTGACACATCTTGCTTTGCCCTCCCTCGCCGGGCCGTGGATTCACCGAGGGCAGCCGCGTCTAGCGCAACCTCTTTCCTCCCTCCCCCGCTGGCCTGCGCCTGCCGCCCATGCACACCCCGGGACCATTTCTCGGGGACAAGCAGTGCGTGACATCGGGGACGGCCCTCCTGCCCCCACACAGGCCGATGTCAGACCTGGTCACTTCTCCTTCCCGCCCATCCTCTGAGGTCACCTCAAGAACCAGCTGCATGGGGGGCAGCTGGGCACAGACCCCCCATTCACAGGGTGACCTGGACATCGGTCACTGGGGGCCGCAGACTTCCGAGCTGTGAAACGGAGATGAAGCCCCCATCTCCTCCCGTGGTTTGGGACATCTCAGAGCACAGTGAGGTGCACACGGCGTCCGCTACCTAACAGTCACTCCTGGAGCCGCCCTGCAACCACCGCCCACCGCCCGGACCTGCTTAGGAACGTGCGCACGCTGGCACTTCCTGACGCAAATTGCACACCCCTCCGCCCGTCCTGCCCCAGCAGCCTGAGGAACGGGAACCAGACCGTGCAAAGCCCAGTGGACACTCTGGTTTGCTGAGCACCTTTGTCCGAGAGCAGAGAGATGGAAATGCCACGAGAGCAGGAATCAGCTAGAGGACAACAAGGCAGGGGAGAGGTGGGTTTCCAGTTTGCCCCTAAAATGCCAGTTATAACCAGGGTGAATTTTCCCCCCCAAGACAGCATAATATTTTCTTTTCCTGGGAACACCTTTCAGATTCAAAGACGTCTCACGCAGCCCTAGTGAGTCTAACTCAGGCTCACGCCAACCCTCTGCCTGGCCTCCCCGGACTCGTGGGTAGGGACCAGTCCAGGAGGGGACAGCAGCTGGCACTGAGCAGGAGGCCAACAGGGACACAGAGGCAGAAGAAACCCTGGGGTGGGGCGGGGACACGCTTTAGCGAGTTCCCGTGTGCCCACGGCAGGTGCCCACGCCACTCACAGTCAGGAGGGTCTGCAATGGGCTCAGCGGCCCCAGACGGCAGCCACGCTGCAGCCAGACCACGCAGAACAGAGTCCCCGTGAAGCCGGTCAGAATCGGAGTGAGAGGATGGAGAGAATTCGCCCTGGTCCAGCTTGTTCAGGAGTCTGGATAAATCCATGGAGACCTGGCGTGGCCACCTCTCCCCAGGCAGCGCCTGCCTCTGGCCTGCGCCTCTCACAGACTGCCTACCCCTCCCAGTGCCCCAAAGAAACGTCCCCCGACAGAGCTGCTGGGAGAGGAAGCCCAGCAAGAGTGGGAGAGTGGAGCAGCCTGGGGCACTGCAGGGTCCCGCACCCTCCGCGATGTCCCGCACCCTCCGCGCAGTCCTGCACTCTCACTGTGCCGGAACGTGTGGGTCCAGAGAATGACACTCCTGATTAGCACTATCTGGTCCCTGGAACGTGGCCTCTCTACAGTGGCTCCTCTAAGCCCAGGAGCAGACGGCGGCCACCTGGGCAGCAAGTCAGGCCTGAGCAACGGAGCATCTTCGAAGTCTCTCTGTGCCCAGCAAAATCCCTTTAACGTTCGGCATGCCCGCCGTAGAAGGGAAAGTGCGATCTCCAGACTTCTCAGGCATGCACGGATGCCGGCACCAGGGATCACGGGAAGTACTGTTTTACGGAAAAGGAGAAAAAAAAAAAAGAACTAGACGTGTGAGATTCTGTCATTTAAACCGCCAGTCCTGGAAAAAGTTATCTTACACCAATGGTTCTCAAAGTGTGGTCCCTGGACAAGGAGCCAGTAGTACCGGTGACGCCCGGGAATTTCCCGGAAATGCAAGTTCTCGGGCCACCCAGACCCGCGGGGTCGGACTTGGGGTGGGCCCAACGCAGTTTTCACAGCCCCTCGGGTGATTCTGTGCAGCTCAAGTCGGAGAACCGTGGTTTTCCCTTAAATCTTCCTAAAATTTAGATGACGACTACAGAAAACTAACTAGACACCCTGCCCCCAGGGGAAGACCACGGGATTAGTTTATAGGAAACCAAATTTATCCCGAATGTCAACGAAGCTCCGACCAGGACTGCTGCGTCTGACTTGGCGGGAAACGGGTGGTTAGGGGCCAACGGTCCCGGAACGACGGGTCTACACAGACAGCTGCGGGGATGACACGGGTTAAAGACAACTTTGAAAAGGAAGCCTGGAGTGAGGGACTGGTCTGCCCGACGTCAAGCCTAATGACAAAGCTACAGTGCTGGAGACCACGGCGTTGGTGAAGGGACGGACACGGGACCGCCACCCGGAAACAGGCCCCCACAGACACGCCGGACCTTTGACAGAGGCAGGAGCAACACAGATGAGGAAGGACAGACGCCGGCGACACCTGGACATCCACAGGCAACAGATGAACTGCGACCTCCCATCTTATAAAGCATTAACTCACAACAGGTCGTTGGCTTAAAACATAAGACAATAAGACGTAGTGGAAAAACAGAGGAGAACGTCTTTGGGAGCTAGGACTAAGTAAGCCATGGCTTTTAGACTCGTCACCAAAAGCACAACAGACAAAGGTAGAGTTGCTGGCATGGTCACTTGGAAGGCCACATGCCACTCAGAGATCCACGTGTCAAAACTGAACATCTGGACACGTCCTGCTTCTCCTCCTGCCTCCCGCATCTCAGCCCACGAACCACCACGAGCTCTGTCCCCTCCCTTGCACGTCCGACCCCCCCCCCACGGCTCCCCCTACACCCTCGCTTCTCCCACGCCTGGCCACACCCCACTTTCGCCACCTGGAAGGGTCTCCAGATGGCTCTTCCTGCTTCACGCTGGCTCCCACCTGTTCTCCATGCTGCAAAGGAACCTTCTAGAACGTAAACCTGACCATATGTCACTTGCCAGCCTGAAGCTTCAATGGCTTCCCACCGCTCCAGGGACAAAACCCAAACTCCTGCTCGTGGCCTGATGCATGCTGGGCACCGCTGTCCTCAGTGGCCTTCCCAGCCCCACCTCCCCGCCCCACCCTCCAGCCACACTTCCCAGAACCACCAAGCCGGGGCCTGCCTGCAGCCCCGCACCTGCTGCCTGCCCGCCCGGAACCTCTCTCCGCGGTCTCTGCCGACTCACTCTTTAGTCTTGGCTCAGTGCCGCTTCCTTGGGGAGGGTCTCCCTGATTCGCCTTCCAAATTACGGCCACTGGTAACACTTTCTAAAAGCGCTCTGCAATTTCCTTCAAAGTGCTTTGCCACCTGCGACCGTGCCCGTATGTGCAACTGATCGCAGGTGTATCTCCCACGCCGCTGCAGGAACAAGACGCAGGACCGGGTGGCCTCGCCCATGGGTATATGCTCAGCACCCACGTGGTGCTGCCGGCATGTGGGACAGGCTGGACCTTTGATGATGGAATCTGCCACTTCTTGGTGTGCTCCCAACACGCCCGAGCGTGGGCGCGAGGT